AACCACCGGTCTCCTGCCAAATTTATTTGAAGTTTCCCCAAGATCAGCTGTAGGCTCAATTATAGATGATTTGGGGGCAAAGATGTGAACACCATGCTCTGAAACAGCACACTTGTGCCAAGTTATCAGTGGCCATCTAGCTGCTTGGGAGACTTCCCCTAGATCCCCTGAAGGAGCACAGGCAAGGAGGGAAAAAATCAGGGCAAAATTTGGGTGGTACTCCCATTAATGATGACAAATTTTATGTTCTCACTGATGCGCTTTACAATATATCATTCTTTGCCCAAGACGCTGTGCAGGAGAACCAAAGTCCCAGCCACCTACTTTCCCTTCTGCTGAAGGCCAAGTTCCGTTACACATGGATCTTCCCCATCTTGGCCACACAAAAATACTCCCAAGCCTGTCTTACTAATATGGAACAAGCCATGTGGCAAGAAAAGCAGCAACAGGTACTTACTGCCAATCTATTCTTTGATCTGGTCTCACAAATAAGTCACAAAGTGATAATTATGAAAGAAAGATACGTAAAAGGAGACACAGCCCGCTTCTGGTTCATGTCTCAATTGTTACCGGATTAAAATAGTTTGGATATTTCTTCCTTCTTCCTTCTTCCTTCTCCTTCTTCGGATGGTTTGGATATTTCAGATACAAATCTGAGATGTCTGCTGAACTGGAACCTAACTCAGAAGAAATCTCGATTCATTGCAACAGTTAAAATCTCCCCTTGGGTTGCCTTATTTTTATTTTTTGCTTTGTTTCTGATATTAAAGGACTAACAAAACAACTGTTCCCCTAATGACTTTATTTTACACTTCAGAGTCAAAATGGAAACTGTGTGACATTTCAGCAGCTCTCAGCCTAAAGCTGGCAAGTACGCTCTGCCATTATTGAGAAAATATGTGTTTTTAATATTTTTGTTCAAGAATACTATAAAGGCAGACATTTTAAAAATTAAAACAAGTTATAAGAAATGCTGTCTTTGTTTAAAGTGCCCTCAGTTTATGATGGTGCTAAATAAAAATAGGTATTTTTCTAACTGAAATGAAAAATCAGTTGTGAAAATATTTTCAGAGGGTGGATTATAAAACAAAACAAACAAAAAACCCTAGCGGACTAAAGGCATATCAAAGTCATTCTATCGGGGCAGCCCGGGTGGCTCAGTGGTTTAGCGCTGCCTTCAGCCCAGGGCCTGATCCTGGAGACCCGGGATCAAGTCCCACGTCAGGCTCCCTGCATGGAGCCTGCTTCTCCCTCTGCCTCTCTCTCTGTGTCTCGAATGAATGAATGAATGAATGAATGAATAAATCTTTAAAAAAAGAAGTCATTCTATCAACTATTTTCTGAATTAAATGTGTAACTCCTGAGTTTCCATAATCAACTACTTTGTTATTGGGTTGTTTGCTTGTATGCATTTGGCTTTATTGACCAGAATCCACCCCCCCCACATGTTCAAAAAGGCTATCCTACAATTGTTTAAAAAGATGGTTTTACTGCCACATTTAATGTCAAACACTATGTAAAAGACATTGAAAGATTTTAGAAACTTTTGCTGTGTGAATCCAAAAAAAAAAAAAAAAGAAAAGAAAAAAAACCCACACAGCTTCTGTGCTCAGAGAGGGGAAAGACCTTCCCATAGGCAGCTGAGTGCATGTATTACTTCTGAACAACCACCCCATATCATTTCATCCTAAGGTGTTTTTTTGTTTGTATTTTAACTCTGCTAAGATTGTTTACTTCACAAAGCAGATTTATTATTTATTACTTATGTGGTGCTTCTGTGAAACACATTACTGCCAGGCCCACCATTCTAAGATCTGTCAAGTTTTACTTAACCTAAATATAAAAATTACAGATACCTGGAATTTAATCTATTAAAAAAATTCAAAGAATAAGAATAGTTGTAGGCCCCTACTTATTTCTTAGGTCCTATTTTTCCTTGAAAACACACAGAGATGATTGATTCCATTATCTTTCTACTGATAAAAGCAGAACTTTGGCTCAGCTATTGCTAGTACTAGAACAACACAACATGCCCCACAGTGCTAAAATAATTTAAAACCACAAAACTTAAAAGTTACAAGTATTATTTTCTCATAATGGCCTCAAGTCAGTGCTGTGCCTTTGGGCAAAGGAAAGTTTTTTGTGTTTTAATTACAGAAAGCAGATTTCACTGTACAAGTTGCTGTAAAGAGTCTGCGATGAACCCCTGCTCCCCTTCCCCGCCCCCCGCATGTGGTGAAGGTATTATCGGTTTGGGGAGACTTTTCACAAATAGTAACTCAAGAGAAAACATTGTTTTACCAAAACACAATGGCACAGAATAAGAAAGGAAGTTGTGCAGGGGCCAAGAGGTGTGGGAAGTGGAAAGAAGAAAGCACAAGTTCCCCGACCAGCTGAGGCCGGCAGCGGAGAGCACTTGCATCTAAGTTAAGGTGAGCGACACAGATTTTAGGAGCCAATTCACCCATATCTGACTTGAAAGGACTACATAAAATAGAGGTCCCATTACTACACAGAAACATATTTTGAACAGTTAGTTCTCAAATTAAACCCTTCTCGAATACCCACATTTAATTATGGGTGGTGGTTTTCAATATTTGAGCTATCCCAAAGAACCAACAACTATACCACATTGTCCCAATTTACTAAATGCCTTGCTTTCCCACATAAAATTATTAGCCAGGAAATGGAAAGTAGGAAGACTAAACCCTCCCGGTGTCTGGAGATGCTAGACTAGAAGAAAGCAGTTGCTGGAAACAAGGAGGCTGCACGCTCCCTCCCAGTTCTCTGCCCCAAGAGAGGTACGAGGGAGGCTGGTGCCAGAGGGAAGCTAGTGCCCCCTCCTCCCCACCCTTCAGGTTTCAACTTAGGTGTTGGAAAAGTAAGGATTTCAGTTACACGCTTATTTTTTTTAAGTGCAAATATGATTTTATAATGAAAACTACACAATCGAGACTGACAAGCTCAGAATGGCAGCCTATGTAGCTTCTACAGAAGGCTAAGAAAAATGAAAACAAACAAACAAAAATAATCACCATATTGTTTACAAACCTACATTTCTAGTTGCTAGAAGATTCCACTGACTGCTCTGATAATGCACTGTATGAGGGTAGGCATTTCCTTAAAAGATTTATCTATTTTAGGGAATGTGCATGCATGCACACACACACAGGAGGAGGGGTATAGGGAGAGGGAGAGGAGCCTCTGGCAGACTCCCTGCTGAGCGAGGACCTGGAAGCTGGGCTCTATCTCATCACTTGAAGACCATGACTGGAGCCAAAACCAAGAGTCCACCACTCAACCAAGCCACCCAGGTGCCTCATATGTAGGCATTTTTACAAGATTTTTTATTTGAGTAGAGATAACACATAAGATTACATTAGTTTCAGGCATATAACATAGTGATTTGACATCTCGCTGTGTATTCTTAATGTCAAGGCCAACAGGCTATCATCTTATGACCCTAACTCTTTAGAATGAAAATGCATATATGTAATTTCGATGTATCATTTCTCCCAAATTCTTTCTTTTTTTAGATTTATTTATTTATTTATTCATGAGAGACACAGAGAGAGAGGTAGAGACACAGGCAGAGGGAGAAGCAGGCACCATGCAGGGATCAGGCCGGGTGTCCAGGATCAGGCCGTGGGTTGAAGGTGGCACTAACCCACTGAGCCACCCAGGCTGCCCTCTCCCAAATTCCTTTTTTTTAAAAATTTTTTTTAATTTTTTATTTATTTATGATAGTCACAGAGAGAGAGAGGCAGAGACACAGGCAGAGGGAGAAGCAGGCTCCATGGACCGGGAGCCCGATGTGGGATTCGATCCCGGGTCTCCAGGATCGCGCCCTGGGCCAAAGGCAGGCGCCAAACCGCTGCGCCACCCAGGGATCCCTCCCAAATTCTTAAACAGTCTTAACAAGTACTTTCTTCCAGGAATATCAATGCCATTAAAGTAAAGGTAACAATTCATAGCTACTGAGCCTCTTCTATGCTTTTCTGAAAAAGCAGGTAGAGGTCCATTTCCATATCATCAGGTAAAAGCAACTGCTAAGTCAGTTTTCCAACTTCACTTAGCATTTCAGGGCTAATCACTTAAACAACTGAAGCTGACTGTTTTTCCTTAATATGCATTTATTGTAAATATTTTTCTAGAAGCCAATGCCAACTTCATGAGTTTTCCTCAACATTATTTTACTTATGTTAATGCAGAAATATAGAGGCAGTTTTAATGCACTCTTTACAGCAAAATGTGTAAACTCCTGTGACTTACCAGACATAGAAAATGGAATGATCATGTTTGGCCATTACTTTCCAGCACATAAGTAAAACTGCTAGTTTTAAGTTTCCCCTAGAAATCTGGTTGCATTTTTGTTTTCTTATTTTTGCTGCAAATCAGTGGAGAATTCTATCCATGCTCTATGGAAATGCACGGATCCCATCAATTTGTCTATAGCCTGTTTATCATGAGACTGAACATGTGAGGAAATATTAATATAGCTTTGATTTGTGCCTTAATGTCACAAGGTCAAGGTGAAAAGCTTCAAACTGTGATCCCAAAATATATGTATCAAGTTATGGAAGTGCTCTGGTACTACACAGTTTATGGGATTAACTTTCCTTAGTTTCCTTCCCATTTACTTCAGAAATCATACAGAAAGTTCCTCACCAAAGGGCTATTTCTTGGTATCAGTTCTTCAAGGATGCTTAAAGCACAGAAAGCTAGAAAGTACCTAAAAATTAAATAAAATACTTCCAAAATACTAAATTTGCCAAAGAACAGAATGAATCTGGCCTTCTTTCTATTCCAGTCCCAGGTCTTTGGGAGGGAAGGTATTCAAGAGATACTGTTACTAACCCAATTCAAATGTGCAACAGTTGGACAGAGAAGGCAAGAAAGCTATTTTGCTGTTCTATGGGGGCAGCATGAGTCAAGCAAGAGGGGCACGGAGCAGGATCACGCTTCAGGCCACCCGCCCCACAGACAGGAACGGTCCTTACCATGTCTCCAGGCTTGACAGAGATGGCCACCACCACGCCAGGCATCGGGGAGCGCAGAATGCTGCTTGTGTCCTCAGCCATTTTTTCCAGCATATATCTGTTCAGTTCTGCAGCTAGTTTGGTTAAGATATGCACCTGGTACTTAAGGGGGAGGCAAGGAGTGGGAGAGAAAACCATCAATGAGTTTAAATGAAGAACTTTTCCTCAGCTGTAGCACTCATTTGGCATACGTTTTTAGCTTTGAAATTTAAATGATAACATCTTTGAAGTCAAATGGATTTTGATACTTGTAGTTAGAAACAGAACATATTCATCTGTTTCTGGCACATGTTGTGAGCTAGTTATTTAAGAAACTTCTTGAAATAAGAACGACCCCAGTAACTAATTAATGACAAATGGTGGTCACCCTGTATCACTCTGAGAAGCAGCAAAGTTTTATCAAAACTTGATAAACAGTAGGAATTTCCCTTGTCTTCTCTTCACCGCTTACAAACTTATCCCAATTAACATGACTTCCGAGATTGAACTGTGTCAGCCTGAGGAAGAGGCGTGAGCCTGCTAACACCTGCCAGCAGATGGCAGCAGATCGCTGTCTCATGCCTCCCACTCCCCTCCACGGAGGCTGTGCCACCTAGAAGTTAAGACAAAGGCTTTCTGTGTTCCTTTTGGGCAAAATAATATTTAAAATTCGAATTTTTCTAGAGACATAATATGTTATATTCACTCCTGAGAAAATTAGCTTTCTTTTTAGACACAGCGTGACGTAGTTTTCCCAAGGACAAGTAGGGTAAAGATGATGTAGAATGAGTTATCTTCTGTGAGGAAAAACAATAATATCCAGATTTTAAAACCACTGAAAGAAACATTATGCACAAGCAAGTATTTCAATGGAAACTTCTGTAGGTGGCTCTCAATTAGGGGTGCATTAACGGGAGTTCAAACAAAACATTTCCAATAAAAGAGAATTTCTGTCCAGCAGGAAAAAAAAACCCTCCATCGCTGTGGACAAATATAGGAGCCAGTTTGGTCTATCAAAAACAAAACAAAACAAAACACCTAACTAAAATGGTTTGAGGAGGTGTTACTCAGTGAAGGCGAAACCACCACCTGAAGATTTCTGGATTCCTACCAGATCACATCTCCCTGGGGTAAGAGAGATGCAGCATGGAGGCAGCCCCATTTTGTTCAAAAAAAGCTGCTATAACTCAAAGCCTCCTGTGGGCATCGTGATGGCAGGGATGCAAAAACAAAATAGAACTCACCGTTTCATTCTGGACAGGGATGGCAGAAATCTCTAAGCCTGCTCTTTGCAGGGCCTATTCTAAAGGGGTAGGGGAGAGCCCCAGGAGATCTGATGGCCTAGGTTCCAAGCAGATTTGCCACCATGACAGGTTGAATAATAACATCTTTTGCATGTTTCTTTACTCCTGAGTGTGTGTTTTGCAATCAAGACATACAAGTGTCTGCCAGTTTCTGAAGGATATGATCCTTAAGTGAAATTACAGTGCAAATAAAAGCTTTTTGCTCCTATTAAAATTCATCTGAGTCATAAGTGGCAATGGAAAAGCAAGGAAAGTGCATTCTGCTGTCAGTCTAATAAACATTCTGGGCAGAGGGACTATTTATCAGTGATGAATTGTACCTCAAAGTCCTTCATTAAACTATGGGGGGGTGGACAGCAAAAGAAGGGAGAATATAATTGTACCAAATTGCATGGTTTTCATATCTGTGCTCCATCTGCTTTAGAAAAGGAAATCCAGTATCACCAGGAGAGTCACGGGGAAAGTCACTTCTCCAGCCACCAGCACCCTCGGCTGCTCCATGTGACTGGCCAGCACCCAGATGGAGATTTTCCCCTCTGTTTTTCATACATTTGACCTCAAAATGTGAAGTCTGAATTCAGGGAAACTATCTTTCTACACTGAGGATAATATGATTTATCACATTTCACGACAGTGGATAGGCTTAAAAACTAATTTTAGCTATATCACAAACAAGTCTTATTATAAATAAAGAGCTAAGATTGTACCCAGCTCCATTTCTCCCCAGAAATTACAAGATCCTGACTAAAACTGGATCCTTTTACTATTTTTATAATTTTCATATCTCTTGAATTCCTTTCTCTGTAGGACTCCTGCTTTGCTTGGAAAGAGATGTAAAAGAGTCACAAAACTCAACGCCTTTAGATGCAGTCTTTGTTATTGATGAGATGTTCCTTTTCCTTTTGTATTTGTTTATTGTTCTTAAATCTGTTTGGGGGATAAGCGACTTATTGTAATCACAAGTGAAAAAATAACAACGGGGTAAATGCCTCGGGAAAGGCCTCGGTGCAAATAGTTGGCTAAGAAAAGACCTTTCTGATGAATATAAAAAGAGGAGGCAGCAAGAAGGTTCTCTTTTTAAGATTACCTTTGATGTTGTCCTGACCCCTTGAGCGCGCCCACACAAATACGCCTCTTAAAACTGTGTCTTGGCTCCAGGCTTGGCAAAGCGTGGCATACAGCCTGCCCGGGTGGCATCCGAGCGAGTGTAGCACATGGACCCTGCAGAACGAGCTGCCAGGGGAGAACCATAAAAGCTTCTAGATGCTCCCAGAAAAGAAGTCATTTAAGAATGTACACTAGGGCTTTCAAAGCTTATGATCAGAACTGCTATTTATTGGTTTCTCTGAATTCTGAGGGGGCACGGGCAGAGCAGCCAACCAGCTGAGAGAATCCATGAAAATGCCTTCTGAGGGCACAGAGTTGGGTTTTATGCCAGGCATTTAAAAATTCCTAGTGGGTTCTGCAGAACTTCCCTGGAGGGTTTTGACTTTAAGTTGTTGCTGTTGTTGTTGTTACTGTTTGCAAGCACAGAAACCACAAACTTGATGTTTTGGCGGTGGGAGTCCAAAATTTTACAGGTTAGTTGACAGGACAGGGAAGTAAATCCTCAAAGAGACCAGAAGGTTCTCACCCTGCAAGGCCATGAGGGATCAGAAGCCGCTCAGTCCTGGGTCCTGAACTAGACTCGCTGAGGGTCATCAATGGATGGAGACTCACTGTGGGTTTAGGGAGGTGCTCAAAAATTGCAGCTGAATGAATGATCAAGTTCTTGGAAAATATACCTCATGGTGTAAGCACTGAGGACAGGTGCTCTCCAGGACTCCAAGCTGGACAATACTGGGAGGGAAGGAGGTGCCATCTAAAGACCCCAGTTTAGGTCTCTAAGCAAATGAATTGCTTGGCTTCTGCAATGTAAAACCATGTCTAACAAGAAAATTTCTCCCAAAAAGTTCAAAAGAAAGAAGGAAGAGAAGGCAATCATACCAGATGTAAGAGGACCAGGAAGAAAACCACCAGAGATGGACAATTAAAAGGAACACAATGGAATTGTTTTAAAAGTTGATGTGCAGCTCTTAACATGGAACCTGACAAAAGGGGGAAAGGTGTGGGGCAGAGAGCTGCTGAAGTTGGGGGAGGGGGAGCGGTCAGGGTTTGGGAAGGATCTATGTTTTTGATCAGATCCATTAACAAAAAACACCCTGAGAACAGGCATGCCGACCGGTGCCATGCATACACACAGCTCATGTGCCACTGAGGGGCAGGGCAGCCCTCGCTCCGGGCAGCTCTCGCTCTGGACACAACTCCACTCAGGTGGTCACACAAAACACCTTGCTGCCCGTCTCTGCGTCTCCTTGCGTCTCTAGGGCCTCTAGATCCACCAGCAATTTGACACATCCCATGTGCCCGCACTTGCATGACCCAGAGGTCTATGGGTTCTTTGCAAGAGGAGTGCTTCCAGTTTGCTTTACCTATTTTTTCACTTGTGATTTCCTCTTAAAGTAGTTCACCTCTGGTTTCCGTTTCTATGTCGTTCTTCCAAAACAATGAGGATATGTACAGCTGATGAACTGTTCATGTTTTTGCATGGCAACTGTGGGTCATCTTGGCCAAGGGTCAAAGATAAACTTTACTAGGAATTATTTTACATTGATTCCCTCAGCATCCTGAAGCACTGGCCACATGCTACATATGGACCCTCACTAAGGTGGCCAGCACTGCACTTCTTCACATACAAGGCTCTCTTCTTCAAGGTTTTCCACCTTTCAGCCCCAAGGGTTTCCAACATTCACCTGTGCCTGCATTTCCACAGTGTGGCAGTGAGAGCGAACACTCAAATATGCCCCTAAAAGTCTGCTTTCCTAACTCTGAGCTGGAGAGCAGCCGTCAATGTTCTTGAAGTGACATAAATGACTAGCTGCAAAAGATGACACATCTCTAAAGACATCGGTAGTTCGGAAAAGTATTTTTAAAAACCCCACTAAATAGAAATTAAAACACTGACGTAGAATTAGAATCTTTATTCAACTTTTTTTTCTCCCTTTCCTAAGTTCTCTGTGGGATATACAATTAACACGAGAGGACAAACATAGCAAGGGTTTGATGTCCTGTAACATGCAAGCATCTCTATTTCAGCATCGAGCCCAGCAAAGCCAAATCGACCAAAATCTCCAGGAATCAATGCCCTGAACATTCAACATCAAGAATCAGTGAGTATGTAGCTGCCCTCCTCTTGGAGGGATGCCCCTGGCGATGAAGGTGAACTGAACAAGCGGCTGTTAAAGTGTCTGTACAGCTGCAACCACTGGGGCAGCCTGTTAGCATAATGCTGTGACAACTCCATCCACACAGTCTCAAGGTAGCCATCAATCAGGACGCATCATTTAATCCAACAGCACTCAAAGGACTTTCTCCGACAACCCACATGACAGCATATCTACAGCTCTATTTATATCAGCGCCCAGTTGTGTTTACAATGCTGTAGCAATTAGAAAAGATGCAACAGGCAGCAATATTATGGAAATTTTCATTTTGCAGTATTGCCCCGTAAAGTGTGATCCTGCTTCACAGAGTCAGGCTAAATGACAAAAGGCTATTTTCTTCACTCTCCCAGCTCAGACAGCACTTCATTTGCAGCTATCTATAATTAGATTAATGGTGTAGTGCAGTACAAAGCAGGCCCACTTCACATCAGATAGCATATGAATTAGGACAAACACTTATTTCAATTCCAGGCAGAGAAAGCAATGACTGGGGTATTTAGCATACCCTTTATGGTGGAATGAGATGTTAATTGTGTACCATTACCTCTAAACTGCT